ACTCTAATGCAAATCTAATTTAATACATTATATTTATTCCTTTTACTTAACTGACTAATTAGTTATATAATTGGAATTCATTTATGATATTATTTTAATATGTTAGAAAACATGTAAAGAATTACATTGTAGTCAAAAAAGTATCATAATAATTGCATATTTTTAAACTTGAATCTAAAAATAGAATCTATTTTAAAAATATGGAATCACTTTATAATTGATTATAACAATTAGACAGAAATGAAAATCCATTGCGGTTTGAAAAAGGTACGTATGACCTTTTTGCAATAACAGTAATGAGGAATTACAGAGATTTAAAATAGTTTATCAAACATACGTTCAACAAATAAGAATGAAAAATCGCCTGATTTATATGGCAAGGATTTACACACTTTTTTTACAAACCGCAATAACGATTAGAATCAGTTATAACTTTTACTGTATTCTAACCATACATAAGCTAATATATATAATTCAGCATTTGGACTTAATAATAGAATCACAATTTATGAAGTATTTAAAGCAGGTATTTTTAATAAAAACCTTTTTTAAATTATACTAATGCCAATAATAGAATTCTACAAATATTTAAATATCAATATTCTTTCAACCATATAAGAAAAATAATATGGTTTAGTTGAAATATTTTAACTGGAGCTAATGATATTGTGAATTAAAATTTTCAAAGAATAGCTTATATTTAAAATCTGCAAAGTATATCATTGCCGTATAGTGTGCTGTATATAGTACACTTGAAGGAATATCGGTTTAAAATAGTAATGGGCATTATTAAGCTACTTTGAACCAATTTAAGTAATTTTATGAATTATTAGGGTCAGGATTAGAATTAGAATTTAAATTGACGCAAATTAGTTAGGTTTGTATATATTATATACTGAAGAAGATCCTATAATTCTGTTATATGATCAACCCACATGGTTAATTACTTTTTTTTTTTGATATACCTCTGTGTAGCATCACTAGTGATGGGCTAATCACAGTTTATTAAAAAATCCCGCGTCTCCCGCGCGGAATACCGCGGAATATATTTAGAGTTTTTTTTTTAATTTTTCATATATAAAGACTATCACTAGAAATATAATTTCTTGTTAAAATAATATATTTTAAATAATCATACATTTAGCACGCCCTGGTTTATAATCTGGGTCTGGTTCAAGTTTTTCAAAATGATGCCAAATTTATTTATTAACACCTATGTTATAATAACGTTGTTTAAAGAATGACTTAATAACAGTTATATATTTATTATAACAAGGAATAGTAAGTAAGAACTACCAACGGCAAAAAAAAGTTAAATCAAGTATGCAAATATATATCGATATATAGAATGATAAAAAAGTTCTATGTAGAAATGCATGCGCATTAATTTTATGTATATCAATTACTAATTAGAAATTGGTCGGATGATATTTAATGCAGGCCAGATGATATGCTAATGCAGGCCAAATAATCTCATACATCACTATGTAACACCCCTTTACACAGTACTCCCAGGGGAATTAATATGATTAATCTAAGTAATCTTGGCTTTTTTGTAAATTACTGGGGGTATTGTATATGAATTCTGAAGAGAAATAGTAAGCAATTTAGTCAAAGATTTTTTAATTATTTATAATTTACAATCGGCTAAATTATTTGTTGGCGCTCTTCAAGTTATGTGCCCAAAAATAACGCCATATGAAGGTAATTTTGGTAAAGACGCCAAGTAATTCTATGCTTCCTTACTTACCTACATTTGTTTCCTATTAAAAACCAGAGAAAATAAGATAGATAATGAAACCATGATGACTATATGATCATGACATTTTGATAAATGTAAAAATTATGATAGTCAACTTACATTCACGGAAATTAAAAAATCATGAACAAATGAATGTTGGTTTTACTATACAAGATTTTTTCTTCGACAAATTTCAAAACTTGTTTTAAGAAAATTGCCATTTTTAATCTAAGTAAATTGTGTAATTATTTTAAATCTAAACTTAAAACATTTTGTAATAACTTTAGCAAATTAAGGGGTCGTAACAATTTAAACTAGTGGTAAAGCATTGAAAATCACACCTTAAAAGGCTAATAACAAATGCATTGTATTATGTTTAATACAAAACCGATTATATAATTCTTACGTATGAATGTATTTAATTTAATGCAAATTTTCGATGTGGTTTCCGGTATTTATATGAAAATATGGCACTTTAAGATAGGTGTTTAAAGAATACTTTTTTTCGGTTCTCTCGGACCGAAACGCAAAGCTTAGCTATGCTAATAATGAGTCATAAATATGAAATTATGAAATTTGATAGGTGACGGGATGTTAATGCCAAAGTTTATAACTACGTAAATTATAATCTGTTTTCAAATATTAAATAATTAAATAAATACACAAAATTTCAAATAAACCACTAAATGCTAAACGACTTGATGTATGAATACAGTCATACCTGGGTTATATCACCTCTTATTTCTTTAATTTTTGGGAGACATAACCAAGATGAGATATAACTCTATAACTCAATATAACTCAATATATAAAGCACATAAAAATAGATTTTATTCTGCTCAAATATGGAGATATAACTAAAGTGGGGATAACTCAAGTACGATTGCACATAGTCTTATGGTGCTGAAAATATGCGAAAAGCTAATAATTCGTATTCTTTATTTACTGCGACTTTACTATCATTGCATTTATTCAATACCTACGTTTTACGCGCTGTGATCTTGGCATCACATTTAATATACGTAGTTACTAACCTCTTCTTTACCAACGATCAGGTGGGACAAAAATGCTAATTTATACTAAATAAGGTGCATAAAATAAATAAAAATGGTTAAATCTTAACCACAAGCCGGGTTAATGACCATAATTAGAGTTTCCATATGCAGCAGAGTAGTTAAAATTATTGGTAATCAATTCTAGACGCCCACTCTCCCCGATAATTATTTTCATCGATAACATTCACCAATAATGGATATCTCAATGAAGTGGCTTTCGCGGAATCCTAACGTAACAATTAAAAAGAATGTTTCGCATTTGCTGACTTAAAGTTTGTACGTAAGCACGGACATTGTAAAATGTACATATGCACAAAACGTATGTAAGTACGTATGTAAGTACGTACGTAATTACATACTAATTAATGTGGGAAAACCATTTTTCCTGCATCATTTGATCACCGGTCCTGAGAATTTCGAATGATTTCATGGTATTTTTGGAAATTTTGCCGATGATGCCATTACTTCACAGAATAAACGTACCCCTGTACGTGTTACTGTATATCATATGCAGTAAGGATTAATTACAAAATTTGGTTGCAGCATACTGGTTATATTGGTTCGTTTATCATGTATGGCGTCATTTGCTGTGTTGCTTCACATTTAGAAACATCACTCAACGTGACAATTTAGCATGGTATTAATTATAGCATATTGTGTTGGTAAATTGTCACATGCTGTCGATAAAATGTTTGTTTTTGCATCGTTGCCAATAGAATTTCCTAAAGAACTCATTGTGATCTACTAGATGCTTATATTGGTACGCACTTTGCAGTCAGGTATGCTAGCACTGGCCAAGTTCAAACTCGTCGGAAATTAGTTAAATGTTAATTATTCACTAAATTTCAAAAAGGAAATGTTAAATTTAGTAATTGACTGCGACTCTTCTATAAAAAATTAAATACAACTTAAACATAACTGTACGTTTTATTGGTCTTATCTGTTTTAGTGGCTTGAACTTCGAAAAAAATAATTTAAATAAATGCGGTTAAAGAATTTCTCTTTAGCTTTTTGCTCTAATTCCTGACCAAAATTCTTTCTTTCTACTTTTTTTTTCTTTAAACCTTTTTCTTTTTTCTTCTGGCAAATTTCACTCTTTAAAAGCTTCTACAACAATGTATACGGCTACAGTAGTCATTTTATATTGCCTGTCATTTTTTTCATTATTAGGTTCAATATACGTCGCTCTGTTTTTATATCGTTCTAAAAAAAACTATTTAATCGCATTGTATTCAGGTTCCGTTGCAATCTTCTCAATTAACATGTTTCTTAGCATTATATGGAAAAATGAATTAGAGCGAGCTCCTTATGAATTTTGTTTTTTCCAAGCGATGCTAGTAAGTTTTTTTTTCTTACATAATAATAACTTCGATTCTAAGTCGATCACTTAAATTAGATGCTAATTTGGTGATCTTGACTTTATTATTTAATCCTGTGGTTTTAATTTGGAGATCAGGGGATCAGGAGATTTATTAATGTAAAACTTTTTTTTCGAATTATAAGTTTTAATTTATTCAATTTTTATTAATGTTAAAACAGTTACAATATAATGCCATATTTCAAATGGCTTGTGCTTTTTGCTTTGCGATACAAACATACGCTCAACTCGTTCTTTACCATCAAGGAATTTCGGGTGCATTAAAGAAATTTTTTCAATGCTTTGTAATTATATATCCGATCGTTATGACGTGCATTCTCATTGGTTTATCAGCGCGTCTTAATGCTGTCAAACCAAGGCGCATGAATTGGTATTTTTAATTTCTATTTATTTATTTTCCCTTTTGATATTTATATCTTAAATTTATATCTTAATCTTCATTATAATAATTTATAATAATTCTCTACACAATTTAGTGACGTTATTGAACCTACTTGGATCAGATTGTTTAGTTTTTCTGGCATTAACCAACTTTGTAGTATCCCAGGTACAATTTTAAGCGGTAGGTATTTTGTATATTTATAATTTTAGTCTATTGTTATAAATTCTATTGTTATAAATTCTATGTATAATTTACTATATTATTTCAATTCTTTTAGGCCGCGCCGCTTATATAGTATATAAACATATGGATCAACTTAGAAATTCTTCTTCTACTTCTTCTGCTGAACACGTAATCAGTCAAGATAATCATACTAAATTTTCTAGAGATCCTTTTTCTAAAAAGAGTAAATCTTATAATTTGACAAAAGCTGCTGCCATTAGAATGGTTACTTTTTCATTATTATTCGCATTGGTAAATTTGGTGGCTTCTATACCAAGTTTTGCTGCTATTATCAAAGGTGATGCACTTGGTAAAGAACCTTCCCTTGTTGATTTTGTTGGTTCATCTCTTGGAATTTATGTATTTATTGTTTTTGGATGGCCACATAATTTCCAAAAGGTTAAGCAGGTTTGGTTAAATGGGTGATTGATTGGTTATTTTTGTGGGTTTATTTACATCTTTTTTATGTATATGTACATACATTTTTTGTGTTATTGTGTGGCTTTTTTTTTATTTTTGCAATTTAAATAAATTTCCTTGAGATTGTGAATAATATGCAGTATTATTTTTTTTTTGCTGTTTTTTTCATTGATAGTACACAAAATATAATCTCGAACTTGATGTTTGAAAATCAATCCAAGATTGGCAACTTGAAACTTTGTGTAACGATCGTCGAATTTGGTACAGGTGTTACTACGAATATAGTGCTATTATTAGATTGTGAGAGATTAACGTGATAGCTAGAAACCACCCAAAGGATCAAATAAAAATACAAACAGTACAAGAATCCCAATGGTCTATCATGTTCATCCGATTCAGGATCACGACAGGGACTAACCCGTGCATGAATGTGTGATGCTCTCCTGGTTTGATCGATTGTTACGCATTTTGTCACATTCTTTATTTCACACGTGTCATTATTACTCCACATGTTAATCTTTAGAAATAGCTTGGCAAATGACCACAAATCATCAAATAATAACTAGGTCATTTGGGTCATTAATCATTCAGGTCATTTGCATATAAAATAATTCTATTGGTCGATTGATCATAAAAATTATCAATCTCTATTACTTTCATAATCGATAATCGTGGATTGTGTTTGGAGACCAAAACTGATTGGTTAAAAGGTATCAGAATACTAATTAACATATGTTAAATGACCTTTGTTACGACCAAGGGGAGAGACTTTCCAAATTTCGTTACCAGTTTAGTTCAGGGTAGTGATGGGCAAATCGCGGTTTTTTTAAAATCCCGCGCAGCCGCGCGGGATCACGCGCGGGATCCGCGGGATAGG